CCTTCTTCTTTGTGGGTTTTTTGTTCACAGGTCGCTAACCACGCACTAACTTGGCCGAATCACCCAAGTGGAGAAAGCAAAGTTCGCTCATATCTTTGCTCTGGGACCAGCGCGACAGCAAAAACCCATGCAGAAAGTTGTGGATGTTTACGCCGAATGAAGTGCACGTTCTTCCGCTCCTGCGGCCGCGTGCCTTCATCCAAAGGGCACGCTTCGCGGCATCCGCCAAAAGCAAAGCAGGTGGTCGCCAAGGTATCGCGAAGTCCGCCCCCCCCCCCCTTTGTACTGGTTTTCCAGCGATTGGTACTACACACACTTTGTTTTCTCCAATTGTGTCCATTCACCAAAAACGCCCAGATATTTCTGGGTCCCAGGCTTGGTTTGCAGAACCCCGGTTCCCCGTGCCACACCCCAAGTTGTCTTAGGGGTGTCGAAAGGATTGACCAATTTGGAGGAATCCTCCAGTTCCGTTGATCGGACGCTGACCGCTTGTTACACAAGAGTTTTGGGCAGAACTCCTTTGAAGGGTTCCCGAATGAGACAATATGGGCGTGTTGTTTTTGGGTGACATCCCAAAACGTTGGTTGTCCTTTTGGTTTCCACTTTAAACAACCAAAGCGAGCTCCCCTCAAACTCCGCAGGACGAAGACCTCCTGGACGAGTGCGGCCTTTGTGTGCATCCCTTGGTTGGCACTGCTACGTACCTGACTGACGCAGGCTGTTTGCTTGAAGCAGGGTGGGTGTGTGGCAGCGTCCAAGCTGGAGAACTTGAAAACCTGAAAATCACCCAGTTTTCTGACTAGTTTCCTTCTTTACTGCTGAACTGAGCAAAACCGGCCCTTTCTGGGATTCTAGGTGAATTGATGTGCCAAGTACTGTACTTGTCCACCTCCCAAACAATCCGGAATCACACCTTTCTTGCTGAGGGGGGGGGGCAATAAGGTTCCAAACAAGTTGTTGTTTTCCTTGGCATGCCCCAAAAGGCCTTAGAAGTGATTTTTGTAGGGACCTGCACCGTTGTGCCGTGTCACGGTCTGACTTTGTGTAGGCCAGTATATTTTATGACCACTCACCACTTTCCTTGGTTGCTGTTGACCCCCCTGCAAACAGGGGCTTGGGGGAAACCCCCTTGATTTCCCAAAAAGTTAAAGTCTAAACATCCGTTACCCAATAGCAGTCAAGATTCTAAGGGATCCGGGGGTTGGGGGAGCCCATTCCAATGGTGTAGGACTCGAGCTTCGCCGGCCGAAGTGTTGGCCCGAAAGTGTTGGTTAAGAGGGTTCTAACCCTGAAAACCCACCTGGTTAGCAGGTTCATAGCTAGCCAGGTGTTTGGTTGTACCTGGACAATTTGGCCACTTCTCCAAACTGGCGTTTTTTTTGTTTCTTGAAACCAACCTCAAAAAAAGGGCAATGCTCCAAAAAGCGACCAAAACAACCAGAACAAATAGCAAAAACCACCATTTTTTGTGGTTTCTCTTCAAATTAACCTCAAAAAAGGCAACCCTCCAAAAAAACGAGAAAAAGCCCAGAGCCCAGGGGCTGCCCAACAGGCGCGCCCTTGACGGTGCTCACCCAGCCCACGCTGCGTGTGGACCGCGGCTCGGGACCTGACCCCGACCAGCCGCAGCTGAGGCCATAGCCCCGGGACTCAAACTGCCGTTCAAAAAGCATCGGTTGGGTTCATACTGTGGATAATTGCGAAATCCATTTCGCACCACCGATCAGAAACCCTCGGAATGATCATGAGTCCCCAGTAAATACCAACAAACATTGCTTCATGGTTTCTATCTGGTGCAGGATTTCGTCCATCCACAGTATGGCCATGGGTCATAACCTATGCCTTCATTTTGGGGCGGATGAATCCCCATGTACCACCTATTTTGATGTTCACCAGGGGTACAGGGTTTTGACCCACAGCCGTATGGGTGTGGGTCAAAAATAGGCGAACCCAACCCCAAAATGGCTTGCCCCGATAAATGGAAACAAGGACTTAAACCCGTGGTTTCATGTTGACCCATACCCATAGAACCACCAGTGTTTATCGTTCAGGATTCCCATCATCTATGGGTCCCAAGGCCATTCCTTTTATTGAAGCAAAAACCCTATGCTGGGTGGATGTTCTTGGGGAAACCAAAAAAGGGAACCCGCCCAAAAGGGGCGGGGGAGTTCCCCCATTTTGAGACGTTTTCGGATGCATCCTTTGACCTTGGGTATGTACTTTTGAGCGGTATCCTTTTTATCTTGGTTTAAAGGAAAACCAACAAAAAGAAAGCCACCCACTTTGGGGGCTCCCCAATTTTAAGACATTCAACTATAGGCTCATGCCGCCTTTTTGCATGGGTTGTCCATGGTCTATGTTCGGAACCCGAACACGCCAGCTTCTCCTGGGCTTCAGGGCTTGTAGTGATGGGTCGAGGGCATTGCCAGGAGGTCTTCAAATTAATCCGCAGATATACCACCAATATGGCTGTACCCAAAGTGGGTTGCTCTGGTAAATGGAAACATGAACCAAAACCTGCGGTTCCCTGGTGGTTGAATTTTGACCGATACCCATATAAGCTTGTAATGCGGCACACACCTCTGTAAGTGATAATATATATATATATATATATCCTCCATTCCTCCCTGGCGGTGCCCTTGATTGGGGGGGGTGTTCCTGCCCCCAAGCTGCGCGGTCAGGGATTATGCCTGTGTGCACATGCTTTGTCCGAGAGACTATTGGTGCTGCGTTGGGAAGCTGGTGGATGTTCAACCCCTAACCAAGATTATCAGTGAATCGTTGCAGTCCTTTTTGTAAACTTGCTTAGCAAGTCCGAAGCCTCGTATTTTTCTTTTTGGGGGGGGGACCATTAAAAAAAAAAAACACGGCCTCTGTGGGCGGAAGCAAAACGAGCCAGGCGCTCATCCTCTGCACTGGTGGCCTACCCGCGAAAAGGGCTCCATGTGGCCTTCAGCATCTCGGAAGCCAATGGCCCGGGGTTTGGGGGGTCCAAGTCGCTGCTGGGTTTCAGGTGCGCATTCGTGGCTTCCATATGTTGCGCCCCTTCAGAGTAGGTGTTACAAATGGCATTTTGGTTCTGAGTATACTTTTTTTTTGGTTAAAGGGGGTACCAAGGGACCCTTACGATATGAGCATCGCCATGAACCGCCATTAAATGCGGCCATGGGAGACACCTGATCAAGCTTCCGCCAAGGCCCGCAGGCAGCATGCGATCTGTGAGGCATCAGCTTCAGGAATTGAACACATATTGGCTGTGGCGCTCAAAAAACCGGTACCAAAATGGAACCCTGGTAAGTGGAAATATGGACCAAAGCCTGCGTAACTCCTCCCGTTTTATTTTGAGCCACACCCATATGTTCTCGCATGGCTTCATAGCGATTTTGAGTTTGAAGTTTTTCAGCCGCTGGGAAAGCAGTGGCAAGCTCGGCGCCTTGCTCTTGCCTGCGTCCGTGTTCAGAACAATCCCTGGCATGTGTTTCATTCAAAGGCCCGTGAAAGGAACACCTCGTCCGTGACGCGTGCCGGGAGCTCTCAACGCATCGCGACGTGTGATTCGATGGAAGCCAAAAGGATGGTGTTCAAACGAAGGTGGACCTTTAAACAAGAGGTTGGCCCGACATCAACCTCATGTTTCGTTTGGAGTTGCCAGTAACTCCAAAATATGTCCCGCCAAGGCCAAGGCGACCTTTTGGTCAGCTGATGTAGGGGGAACATCGTGCTGCTCGTTGGAAAAAAATCGGGGAGCTGAAGAAAGGGAAGGGGTCCCCCCTGGACTTCCTGAGTACCTGGACTTTGGGACCAACTCCGGATGTGAGCCACTGGATCGGGCGCCCCCGAGGTGGGATTGGATATTTGGATTTTGAAGCCCTTGCTTTGAGGCCCAAAACCACGAAGATGGTGAACCTCAACAAAAGGTAGGGGTTCAAGTCCAATTCCAAACCACCCACCCAAACCACCCAAACCACCCACCCACCCAAACCAAGCAGAAGCTGAGTTGAGTTGGGGCTGTTCCGAGGCGGCCAACTTCTGCACGGAGTGCCCGGGCAGCTGGAAGAAGAGCGCGGGAAGGAGCGCCTGGCGCTCTTGGTGAATGCCGCCTGGCGGGTTTGGGTCTGGTTCTGCCCAGGAAATGCGCATGGCCTCACTGAAAGCTTTGGGGTCGACAGGCCAGGGAGATTCCAGAGGGTTCCCTACATTGGGACTCTTTGGTGCATCTGACTTGGATGTTAGGACTGAAACACTTTTTGCCAACCAACGGGCTTTCCGTATTAAACCACTAAAAGTTAAACTTTTAGCACGGGAGCAGAAAGCAACCAAGCTTTGGGGTCGACAGCATAGGTTTCGGGGGGTTTGGGGCGGCAATCAGGGAGGGTTCCAGAGTTCTGGAGGGTCCCACCCTCGCGGATGGGACTCTGTAGAAGCACAAATTTGTTTTCTTGCGAGGTGAGTTTCTCAGGGAAAAACTTGCTGGTGCTTCCCTCTGATAAGTAGAACTCAGGGTTGTTTCCCCCAAAAAGAAAACGATTAGTTGGATGTTTTTTTGTTTGTGTTCTTCTTGGTTTCTTGGGGGTGATGAGCCAATTCTCTCTTCCCGTGGGCCCGTGGCATCTCTCGCCGCAAGCAACACGGCACGCGACGAGGTGTGGCTGCTGCACCGCCCGCTGGGCCTCCGAAGCTCGGGAGGCCGATGGACAACGAACTTTCGTCTGGGTTTGCTCCCCAAGAAACTTAAAGCGAGCTCGCTGGAGTGACGTTGTCAGAAGTCCGAGCCCCTGGAGTGGATTTTTCTTGTAGCCTTCTGTAAAACTTTTATGTATCTAGATCTATCTCTTCTTCTCTCTCTCTCTCCCTCTCTCTTTCTCGCTTTCTCTCTCTCTCTCTCTCTTTGTCTTTTCCCTTTCTTGATCTTTCTCTTTCTCTTCTTTCTCTTTCTCTTCTTTCTGTCTTTCTGTTTTTGTTTTTTCCTTCTTTCTCACTCCGGGCTTCTTAGCCCCGATATGGAACCAAAGTGTATGGCCGGCGTTCCGGCGGAAGTGGTTGACGGCGAAACTACCGCTGCCGAAGAAGTAAACAGCCGCGCTTGTCGCAGTCACTGCCGCCTTTTTTCAGCAGAAGCCAGGCTGGTTTGACGTTAGCTTTGAGTCAGCGCGTGCAACGCGTGGGTGTTACAAGCGTTAAAGCTAATTCGCAAGGAGGTGCTCGAGCCTGCCACGTAGCAGTGCTCCAACTCATGAGTTGAAGTACAGCAGCCGGCGATGGTTTCTCGTTTGCGTGTTGCGGGGCCTTTTGCAAAACGCAGTGCTTTAACGCAGTGCTGCAAGAGGCATTTCTTCCGACCGACCTCCAATTTATTCATCACCTCAGGCCTTGTGATGCCCCCACTCAGATATGCGTCTGCCCTTTCGTTTTGTTGATTTGTTTTTGTGATACGAACCCATGCAATCGGAGCCCGTCCGCCTGTCTCAACTCTGCAGGGGGGCGCTCGTCGCCGCGGAAGAAGCTGCGAGCCGGTAGGCTACTGCGCGGCTCGGAGTCAGCAGGCCAGTTTTCTAGAGTAGTTTTGACTAGCATCATCTCATGCCTCATCGCCTTCCCCTCAGCGCGTTGATTCCTGACTCATCAGACTCTCTGAAGAAACGCCATTGTTCGTGCTTTGGAACTTCCTGATAATTTCGCGCGGAAAAGTTCATAGGTGTCCTCATTTGCCCAAACGCGACCTTAAATTGTTGAGGCAATCCTGGTTCAGCCCCTTTGCAAACAAATGTCCTTTGAACTTATTTCCCAGGTGTTTGAAGTAGAGAGAAGGGAGAGAAGCAAACCAGCGTACGAGCCCAAGTAGGGCGCTTAATCAGCAATTTCTGCTGAAAGCGAGTCGAACGGAATCACACAGGCTAGTGGTGGAACATGTATTTTCGTGCCACTTCTAATTGCAAGTGCACCAGCCACACCAATTGCAAACCCATTCAAAATTACTGTGAATTAGGGAGCTCCCTTGTTCCCCTATTTGCGATATTTAGGGCATCGACAGTAATTTTGGGGAGTTTCCTTAAAAGCGAAATACAAAAAAGGGCCCATGTTGTGCAACCATGCCTAACCTGTTGCGATCGCAGGGGTCGGCTGCACCAAGGCATCCGCCGGAAAACGGCTGGCAGCGGACGCCAGCTGCCGCAACCACGTCTTGCAGGGGGCTGGCGCTTGTCAGGGCTCAGGACAGGCGCTGAATGGTTTGATAAAAATGTGGCATAAATTTCCGCCTTTTGAAAGAAAGTGCCCTTACAGTCTGGGAATTTGACAATGACGTTTCGGTGACGCTGGCTCCAACGGCTAGCGGCGGAAATTTCATTGGTTTTCCTCGGGTTTGTCTCCAAACAAGGGAACCTAAGAATGCTTAGACTCCTTTCGTTTTCGTTTACAATTACCCTTTCGTGAAAAGTTACATGCGAGTTGTCATTGGATGATTGTTGCGTGCTGTGGCCGTTGTTGCATCTTTACTGGCGAGCAACATCCATTAGCACATGGACATGAGGGTTCCGTTCATAGCTGCGGAAAATGCACGCTTCCGTGATGCGGTGGCTGATGCTCATGGAGTCATAAGGGGCGTTCCACAAGTGTATCGCACAAACTGTATACTCCAAAGCCCAATTCTCCACCACAACCTGCAAAGCGGGACTTGGGCCAGAGGCTTTTTTGGCTTGTGGCTTGTGTGCGAACTGGACCACCCACAAACGGGCGCCTCATTCTTTCACTCCCTTCAAAACTGCGACCGAATGGGGACCAGGCCCCGAAAACAACAACTGTCACAACGTAGCAAACATAGCTCCCACCATTGTTGTTTGCCCAACCTCCAACCTCTTTGTGGCTATGTGTTTTGTTTTTTTGAAGAGAGTCAAAATATGATTGTTTGATCCCAGCTAGCTAACAGCAATAGGGGTTCTAACTTCTAGCAAAGAGGGTCAAATGTTTGCGAGTTTTACGGGTGTTGTTGAAGGTGCTGGTGGCGACGCAGGTGCGTTTATGCAGCCAGAGTCTTGCGGACCCGCTATAGCCCAGATGATGCTGATGATGATGATGATGGATGATGATGATGACGATGAACAGTTATGATTATGATGGATGGTGGTGATGATGATGATGATGAGGATGACGACGATGGTGATGGACAAACTCCTGCATGGACAAAACTGTCGTTTCCACAATATCCTGCATAAATAAAATTGTCCAAACAGGACCCGGCGCAGATGATGATGGATGATGGATGATGGATGATGGATGATGCATGATGGATGATGGATGATGGATGATGGATGATGGTGACGGATGATGGATGATGGATGATGGATGATGGTGACGATGATGATGATGATGATGATGATGACAATGATGTTAATAATAATCATGACTAGGCACCAATATCCCAGCCGCTGTCCATGATGATTTTGGTGATGGAATGAGGATCGCGATGAGGATGATGATGAGGACAGAACAAAACTGCCCATTGCCAACATTAGTGATGATGATGATCATGACGTCCATAGTGATAATTGTCACTATGCATCCCCGGCATCACCAACTGTCATGATGATAATCATAACTACGCATCCCCTGCACCCCAAGCCGGGTCTAACGGCACACTTGAAACGCATATCAAAAAAGAGGGCGATGATAGTGATGACTATGATGCTAGTACTAGTAGTATACTACTGCTAGTACTACTACTACTACGACTGCTACTGCTACTGCTGCTTGCTGCTGCTGTAATACTACTACTGCTGCTACTACTACCACTACTACTATTACTACTACCACTACTACCACTACTGCTACTGCTACTGCTACTGCAACTGCTGCTGCTGCGGCGACTACTACTACTACTACCACCACAAGTACTAGTACTACTAGCACTACTAGTACTACTAGTACTAGTACTAGTACTACTACTACTACTACTACTTCCACTTCTACTTCTACTTCTACTAGTACAGCTACTATCCACAACTGCTACTACGCAAACTACTACTACTACTACTACTACTACTACTACTACTACTGCCGCTGCTGCTAGTAGTGGTAAGCCCCTACCCTACTGCCGCTGCTGCTGCTGCTGCTGCTGCTACGACTACTACTACTACTACTACTACTACTACTGCCAGCAATTATTTCTGATCCCTCAGCCAGCCTGGACTCTAAAACTACCTTCAAAAAGGAAATGCATCCAATAAATGTGAGGCAATAACAACTTTTGAGTGCTGATTTCACCGGTTTGTTGAGGATCCCGCGGTTGGGCGGCGGCCTGTGGCGGGTCCCCCAGTCCTTGGCGTTGCAAAAAAGCGCGCTCTTTCCGGCGGCCAAAAAAAACAAATGTGAACCAGGTGAACAATCCAAACCCGGGTAGCATAGGCGACTTTTCTAGGTTAGTTTGGGAAATAGATGGATTCCACTGGATTTTGGCATTTACGAGGGAAACTGTCTATTTCTCAAAAAGACGCCTATGCTGGGTAGATGAAGGTTAGGGGCGAGTTCCAACCAAAAATGGATGCGGAAATCCAGAAATTTGGGCTGATATGGTTAGTGCCAAGGCGATCTTCAAAGAACCAACTCAAACGTAAATGGATTGATTTGTGGCACCCAGCACTTTGTACCTTCTTTGGCGGTTTAAATATCGCTTTTTGGCGCCAATTCGTGGATGAATCATATTGCATTGTAAGATTCACTAAGCTTGATCCGGGATCTACAAAAAATCGGCATGCACAAACTAGTTGCGATGCAGTTGTTTGAGCCAGGAATTATCAGTTGATGTTTATTGGGGTCTCCCATTCAAGTAGACGATCTTGACATGTCATTATTAAGGGCTGATCTAAGGCTTATCCAGCCCCTCCATAGCCCCATTATAACTCCCCTGACCAATATTCGTCGCGTTTGCGTCTGGAGGTACGAACAGGGATGGAGATATGCGCAAAGGTCAAAAGGACGGTTCCTGTACTTAGGGTTAACATGCATGGTCATCCACCTGCTAAGGATCCTGAATGTCATTACAAAGATTTCTAATGGGGCCAAATAGTTGGCGGTGTTGGATTGGTTTGGATTTGGACTTGAGCCCCTTCTTGTAAACGTAAATGAGAGAAACCAATCCAATCCACCACCGGAAATCGCTTTTGCGCCGCAACTTGCGATCGATCACTGGTGAGTGCAAACCAATTGGGTTCTAACTTTAAGCTGCCTATGGGTTTCCAAAAAAGTCCATTTTTGCAACAGTGGATCGATCGTAGGGAAACCAAGGGAAACCTTCAAGTTGCTTAAGCTTTGATTTGGGGAAGTCCGGTGACCCTCCAAGAATCAGGGAAGCTGACAGGCTTGAAGGCTACTTTGCTCTCCCAAACAGAAACCTTCGCGTCCATGATAAGAAGGAGACATCATGAGAACTCCAGAAAGACCACTGAAAGAGGCAGGGTAACCAGGGTACTTAGTAAGTGGTTAGTAAGTGAATTACCCACTGAACGGCGAATTATAACCAAGGCTTTTGTGGGTTCTAGCCATGGTTATTAGCCACTTACTAAGTACCCTGCCCCTTTGAGAACCCGCGTCCAGTCGCAGGCAAGTTGGAGTTCGGCGCCCGCGTGACGCACGTGAAAACCAGCGAGGCGAGGGCCGAAGAGCTGACAAGGGGTTGGAATCGAATGCCGTTTGGGTGCTCGATTTGCCAAATTCGCAAGTTGTAACGGACACCTGGGTCATACCCCACTTATAAGTCCCTGTGAATGTGGGGTTAACCTTGTTGTTGGGGGGTTATAGAACTCAAATCAAATGGCTAATTAGTCACTTACTAACTTGGCAGAACATCTAAGTGCTATTGTCATTTGCACCTGACGAGGGGTTTAGTCTTGCATTCCTTTTGACGGGCAACCATCACCCTTTTTTCTGGGTGAACTTCCTTAGGAAGATATATAACATCTTGGGTATGTATTTGGGGATGGCGAATTATCATTTGGTGTGGCTGAAAATTCCGGAGCCACGGTCACGCAGGTCTTTGGTTCCAGTTGCTGTTTTTTGGGGGGGACGAAATGAAGGAGCCAACATTACGCAGGTCTTTGGTTCCCGTTGCGGTTTTTTTGGCGGACATGATCATTCGATGTGTGGCTCAAGAATTGAGGAGCCAAGGTTACGCAGGTCTCTTCGCAGGTTGCCAGTTGGGTCCATTTGGCTGGTCAAAAAGTTGGGTAACCCCAAAACGGGTTGCCCTGGTAAATGGCTTGCCATGGACTAAAATCTGCGGCCTGGTGGCTTCGTCTGCGACCCGAGCCTCGCCCAGGGCTCGGTGGAGGTCCGCGGCAGCGGGAGCACCACCCGGTGCTCCAGGCGCTAAAAGAAGCGATGGAATCTGTGACTCGTGGCGGTTTTCCGGTTTTTGGTTTTCGTGTATTTTTTTTGTGGTTTCTTGTCTATTTTTATTTGTTGTTTCGCTTCTCCAGATAGGCCCCATATGGTCAATCAGACACTGTCGATCTAGTTATGTCTTCAGGCCTAGCAACTGCCCATCAAAATTATGTTTCTCAGTTACAACCAAAGCGAATCGACCTGAAATTAAGTTCCCCTGTTTGGTCTATTTTTAGTATCGGCCCCAAAAGGTTAGCCTTTTCTTCCATTTGCAGATGTGTTTTCTATTTCCCCTGTTGGGTTTAAAGTGAATTTGTCACCACTGGAGATAATTTTATATCTTTCAGGCGAATTATCTGCAAATGGTGGTTTTTGGGGGCAAGTGACTTCTCCAACTTTGTCTTGTGAGACTTTCCCTGTGAAACGGGCCGAACTTTTTTTGGGTTTGGACCAGCTGTGTGGCTTACGCAAAAAGGTTGGTTCCGGTTTTTGGGCCAATCCTCAATGACAATCCCTTTACTTGGAATTCCTCGAAGCAGTCAGTTGGTGGCAGAGTGGTTTGGCAAAAATATCCTGGCGTCGTTTCGTCTCTCTCGGGTCCATGGTCTGCAAAGAAATGAGTGTTTTCGGTTTCAGGGTCGACTGGAATGGTTACCTCAACCTTTGGGTTCATGGCCTTTGACGTTTGGGCTTGAGCCATTTCAGTGGCTTACACAAAGAATGGTTGCTGGTTTGGCCAGCTCACGGAAGTGAGATACCCTTTTTGGGATTCGAATTCCAGGCTATCCAGGCTATTTTTTACGGAGCAGTTTGGCTGTCCGGTGTAGACCCAGGGTTTGTCTTACAGGGGCCCCCGCTAAATGGCTTCGGTTGTCCTTTTGGCTTCCCCTTAAAACCAACCAACCTTTTGGGACTTTCAACCGAGGACGACGCACCAACCCGCTTTAACCCCCCCCTAAACCCCCCAACCGACCTCCCAAAAATGGCCCAGACACGCCGCGCAGGTTGGTCTGCGCGCTGCCGCCGGCCAACTTGAAGGCAGTGACCTTTGAGCCGCCGCTACCAAGCTCCCGGCAGGCATTGCATGAGGCGAACTTCATCGGGTGTATCATTAAGTCGGCGCCCTGACCGAGAGATGCAGCGGAAGAACCAGAAGTCTCAGAAAGTTCCGGGTGGCCGGCCCCAAAAAGCTGGTGATATGGTGGGATATGGGTGTGTCGTTTTGGAATGTACACTTTGTTTTGTCATCTTAAAAGGAAACCAAGAACAAAACCAACATTGTGGGGGCGTATTCTCAAACAACACGCACGCAGATATACCTGGTGACTGCCCACCCCCCAAAAAAGCCCGGCTCTTTTGCAGTTTCACGAATCCCATGTTGGTTGCATTTAAGACTAGAGGTTCGGTTCGAATGCTGAACCAGAGGTGTTTAATAACCGGAGTTGTGCGCAGGACAACAGGGGTTCGACTCATAGCCTTGATTATAAGCTACTCACTAAGCAACCAACATAATCCAAAAGGAGAACAGCTGATCGGGTCAACTTTGGGTGGCGACAGATGGTCAACTCATTGTTTGTTTTTCCGCTCAAAATCTAAAACGAGCAAAAGAAATGCCCAGAGCCCCGAAAAGTGACCAAATGGAAGACCCAGGTAAAAGGGGCGCACACATTCACAGACATTTTCTCCGACGAATACTTGGCTCTAAAGCATCCCACAGCACCTTTCTTTATTATGCTTGTTGAACTGCCCTTATGATGGGTCGTGTCTACAGTCACTCGTCACTCAGCGGTACCTCTGGCATGGGAGGTTATCAAACCCTATGCGGAGTCCAATGGCCATGTCATTAATCACCCAGACCACTATGTTTTTTTTTTTTTTTTTTTTATTCTTTTTTTTTTTCTTCCGGCCGTGATCTGTTGTTTCGCACCCACGAAAGAAGTAAAACAAATCAACCACATGCAAACAGGCAACCAAAACGGCATAAACTATGCCCTAACGGTTCTCCAGCTTAGTATGAAGGATCCGGTTTTCTCCAAAACCACATCCCAAAAACGAAAAGGGCACCATGGCATGGGGCATCTATGTGGCCTCAAATTCAGCAAGACAATCCATAAAACCAGCCACACTGTTTTTAATTAGCTTGCCTTTTTCAGTTGTTTATTTTTTGTGTTTGCTTTCATTTCTTTTTGCAGGAGTTGCCTTTTTTTGAAGCAAAGGGAACACCTCTCATGGGGGCAAAACTCGGACATCACTATGCGACTTCTGTCATGCATTTGGGTTTTCCTCCCCCCCCACCCCCCCCACCACTCACACAAAAACAGACTGGTTTCCTTTCAATTTCACCCTAAACCCCTAAACTCAATTCCCGAGTTGGGCTTCAAGCTTGCGGGTTCGGACGGTTTTTCAGTGGCAAATGCACACAGTTTGGCTCACTTTTCTGGCCTGACTGGATCGGAAGTGAGGAAACCACGCCCCGAAAGCCGGGGCGAAAAGCATATTTTTTGTTTCCAGCTTCCCCTCCGGCCGTTTTCTCCCGGGTTTGCCCGTGTGAGGTGATCCGCTATGGTCAGCCCTTCTGGCGCAACAAGGGCTTTAGCGGAGAGGCCGGAAGCTGGTGCGAGAGATGTGGGGAAATGAGGCACGAGGAATCGTTTCAAGAGCAAGACCATGCAAAGCCATTGTTTTCACGCCGATTCCTGTGTTTTCCCGCTTCCCTTCCTTTTTTTTGCTGGAGGGAGAAGGCCCCCACAAGCCAAGACCCCACATGACATTTGCTGGAATGGGTGGTTTCTTTGGGCATTCCCAACACCCTGCGGCATTCACCAGCAAGTTGTTACCCTCACTCCTACGCTGCCATGGCAGACAGGGGTCCCGAGAGAAATCTATCTTCCAGGTAGTTAGTGGGAGTCTGGGTGGGAAATCAGCCGCAATCCACTGATTTGAAAGTGAATTCAATTGGAATCCACTGATTTGAAAATGAATTCAATTGGAATCCACTGATCTGAAAGGGAATTCAAAGAGAATCGACTGAGTTGAACAGGAATTCAAATGGAATCGACTGATGTGAAAAGTTCCTCATTTTAGGGTTTGTTGGGAATTCAAAGGGGATACTCTGACGTGAAAGGGAAACCAAACGGGACCACTTGTGTGTTTTGTTCGGGGCGGACCTACAGAAAATTGTGGTTTTGCTTGTAGTTTTCCGCAAAAACCAATCCAACAAAGGTACCCCCGAGAAAAGAACCACAGACACCCAGTCTTATCACGCTTCTCCAAAAAGAGTGGACCTGAATGGGCCTTTTGGCTTGCCATTGGCCAAACTTCGGTGGCTCCAAGTGTAATTTGCAGATCCGGAAGGCAGGCAATTGATGTGTCTTCCGAGAATCATCCAATCTACGTCTTGCTTTTTGTCGCGAGGTTCGCACATGTATAGAGTTGCACATTCTACAATTGTGTGACTCATATACCCGCACGAATGCATTGAATTTCCTCGAGCGCGAACAACACCACAAACGAAACCGCTCTGCGCTCGCATCGCTTTTTCGAGGCCCCGGGCCTCTCTCAAGTCACGGCACAAATCAGGAGGCCACGAATCAAGGGTTCTTGTTTTTGCTTTTCTGTTTGTTTGCCGTTTTTTGTGGCTGGGGTTCGGGCCTGCAAATTCAACTCTTAGTGTCCTCGCCCTCCAAAGGGAAAGGTCTCGCTTCGGCTCAGGTTGTGGCAGAGTCGACCGCTGAGGAGCCTGTCTTCAATTGCTATGACCACTGCATAGGCACGTCCCATGTACCTGTCCTGGTGCCGCGACGAGTGACGAGCCCCCTCCAGATAGGGCCCTCAATAGTCGATCAGACACTGTCGGCCTAGTTATGCCTTCAGGCCTAGCAACTGCCCATCAAAATTCCATCTCTCAATTGCAACCAAAGCGAAACGACCTGAAATGACCTTTAAGGTTCCCTGTTTGGTCTATTTTTAGTATCGGCCCCAAAAGGTTAGCCTTTTCTTCCATTTGCTTAAGAATATGTGTATTCTCCCCTGTTGGTTTTTGAAGGGAATCTAGCAAAACTGGAAATATGTTTGTTGTTCCGGGGGACGTATCTGCAGGTTTTATTTCCCAAGTCCTTTGGGCAATTGAGCTTTAGCACCATTTGTTGTGGCTGTGTTAATCAGTTCTTCTTTCGGATCAACTGGGACACTGTGCCCCTACTCAGGCTATGAATTCGAGTACCTCCAAAGTGGGCATGAATCCCCGCCTGGATTTCGATGTCAACAAAGGGTCCCCTATTTTCAAATGTCATACCCATGTTCAACCAACAAAAAGCAATTCTTTTGAAGGCAACCCATGCCAACCACTATTCTAGGGGTTGATTCCCCATTCTTTTCAGCCATCGTTCCTTTATTTCCTCCGGTTTTTAGTGGGTTTCTAGAAAGCAGGATCCCTGGAAAGAAGGGGGAGGTTGCCCCTAGCACTATGGAAATTCACGCTCAGGGGACAGCCACTTCCTGGTGTGCTTCATGAATGGCGCGCCTGCCAAGCTCTGGAGCTCTCGCTCCCAGGCGCACGCGATCTGTTCTCAGGGCTGGGAGCCGGTACTTGGAGTATATGGCTGTGGTGGTCATTTGACCGTTTTGGGATCCCATTTTGGTGGGATTGGGTGAATTCACCACCCATTTTAGAACCTATTTTAGTGGTTGGACCCCAAACCCTAAGGGTCCCTACCTTGTGAAGTTGTACCAAATGAGCCCTGACTTGACCTCTTTCTGACACTCAGAAGGTACAACTTGGACGGACACCCGCAGTTCCGTCGCATAAATGCCCAGCGTTCAGAAGAACTTGGGTCTGTCTTAAAATCAGGAAAAACTGAGATTTACCCTAGAGCAGGATCTGAACATATGTGTCATGCTCAGGCCGTTTCGCTTGGCAGGGATGGTGACAGACAGATGGTTCATATATTATATATATATATATGATCGTCAGATATATACATACATAAATGCCCAGCGTTCAGAAGAACTTGGGTCTGTCTTAAAATCAGGAAAAACTGAGATTTACCCTAGAGCAGGATCTGAACATATGTGTCATGCTCAGGCCGTTTCGCTTGGCAGGGATGGTGACAGACAGATGGTTCATATATTATATATATATATATGATCTTCAGATATATACATACATATTTATATATGGTCCGGGGGGGGTCCTGGAAAACCCATACCATTGGGGGGGGGGGGGGGTAGCAACACGGAACATGGTACCATATATATATATACACATAGATTACCTTGATCCGATAAAGGTTGACAGGTAAGACTCAAAATAATCTCGCACAGACACTGACATGCAAACACCATGGAAATTACAGCGGGAACAGTAGTTTGTTGCCATTCTTCACACTTGAATTGATCATGGACTTCAGTCGGCAAGCGGACCACAGGTACAACATATACAGCAACTGAGGGAAGCCACAAACAAAATAGTTTTGTTATTTGGATGGCAATCCTCTCCGCAGCCTACATTGACTGCAAACTATTGCGTCATCAAGCTCTTGGGGTTGTTGACAATCGTATGTCAGAGTTCCCAACACCGGAACAGGTGGCTTTAAACCCAACTTCTGTAGCTTCCAAGGAGAAGACTCTTTGGAGCCGTGTGCTCTATTCCTGGTGGATATGGTTTGGTGCAGAACGAGCAGGGCAGCGATGTCTCTTTGCGTTGGGGGGATGTTTTGGTTTGACCTTTCGAGTTTGCTTTAGAGTTCTGTTTCGCCTTTTTGTTGAGGAAGGGACAAACGGAATTAACGCGGACATGCCATTCCAAACTTCTTTGAGGTAGTTGTTTTAGTGTGCAAAGTGTCAAATCAAACGGCACCCTTCAATGGTGCGCAAAGGTGAATTCTGAATCCCAGTTTTGTCATGTTCTCCCAAAACACATATCTTGGAAAGAACTGGGGATGTCCAGTTAGCATGGTGATCATGTTGCTCGCCTCTTCCAACTGTCCAAGAAGACGTCCATCAGGGTGGGTCAATGTTGGTTTATGCAGCCGGGCCCTGATCGCCCTCACCCAGAGGCTCCTGGCTTTGGCTTTCAATGGAAGACCCGACCCCTCCATTAGACACCCCGGAGGTGGTTGGAGGTCTCAAAACCAGGTTGCTCGAAGCCCCTAAATCAATCGAATTGGAGCCTCTGGGCAAGTTAGATTTCCTTGAAAATACTGACCAAATATGGACCAGAGTCAGACAATAAAATTGTTATTTCTGTGTGGAAGAGGGTTTCCTTGTTTTTCTACCAGGGCCACCAGGCATTTCCCCTCAAACACCAGGCGGAGAGGAAAGAAGTGGTGCTGAAGCAGCTGACGAAGTGGTTCGGCCAAGAGGCCAACGAACCTCTGGAGTTCTTGGCCTTTTGGCAAGTCGATTTCAGCTGCCAGCGAAAGAGGTGTGTGTCTTTTTGTTTGTTGGTGTGTCAGTGTGTCAAGCCATGGGTCCCGCAACTTGACAATACATGTGGCAACTGTTTCATGCAGCCCGCCAACCATGTGGCTGTCAGCTTCGTTAGAGACGCTAAGAAACACAAAGCTGGAATCCCTACAACTTTGAGAATGGGACAAGATGTGGAATGACTAGAGCAGATGTGTCCCTTGATCTGAAGATGTCGATGTCTTGTTTCTTGGCTGCATACCGTGGATGGACGAACTCCCGCACCCTGTGAAACCATGGGAAACCATTGTTCGTTGGTGTTTACAGGGGGAATCGTCCTTGGAGGGTTTCTTCGGTGGTGCAGGGTTTCGTCCATCTACCTTGAAGCTTCAACTTTTTGGGGAAGATGCTCGCGTTTTTGATGCCAGATTTCAGGCTCCCATGTGCTGGGGCGTACTTTTGAGCAGCCAACAAGAATCTAGGAGGTGATTCCCCATTCGTTTCAACCATCGTTCTTTTGAAAATTCCAGCTGTTTCCCCTGGGATTTTGACGATTTCCTGAAAAGAAGGATCCCTGGAAAGAATGGAAATGGAAGCTACCCCTAGAAAGAAGCTAAACCTTCTTTGCGCGGGCGATCAGATCTCGACGGTCGCAACCCGCTCAGCTTGGCACTCAGGAGAAGGATTGGGTCGCTTGGCCGCAAGTTTTCATTGGGCTTCCCTTCAAAGTCGTCCAACCAAAACTTGGTGGTTCCCGGCCATCCCCGTAGCTTTTTAGCCTTTTAGTGTTTAGTGGGGATTTTTGTGTAACCCACCAAAAGTTAAACTTTTTGCGGGGGATCTGAGGACAGCCCAGAAACCAGGGAGTTCTTTTCTTTCCCGAGATCCACTGGTGGTCTCGGGAGGTGAGCTTGAATGCGGAGATGTTGCGGCTTTTGCCAGCAATGGACACCATCTTTGGGGGGATGGCCCGGGAGGGCTTCTCTTTGAACTTAATTATCTCACGCATCCTTATCCCTGTCAATCACAGTGCTTTTCCGCTAGGTGGCAGATGAGTTTACCACCGGCTGCCCGGTAGGTGGGCTTGGTGGCGTTCGGGGAGGGAGGAGAGAGGAGAGGTTTTGGGTGAGAGATAGATACCAAGTAGGAAATCGATTGAAGAGGACTTGCATGTTTTTGTTCCAGCACCCTAGCTTTTGTTTACCCATGTTCCATTTGGTTTCCCTATAAAGCCACCAAACACTGGCACCCTCTAAAACATGACGCACAAAAGTGTCTTGGTTGCCAAGTGTCCCAAGCGTTCCTTTGGATCAGCCTAGGACTTCACCAATCGCTGGGTGAGTTCGGTTGTTCGGAGAGTTGAGACAAGTGCAATGGTACTGCGCTTCTGTTTCGCTTGAAATGGTCTTGCTTCAAATGTTCAATTCATTTGTGTCAGTTCTTAACCCCACAGATGTGGTAGGGACCCCAAAGGAGCGAAAGGAGCAGCTGAACGAAAAATGTCTGAGTACCCGCTCTTTCTACCGTTTGTTTTTGGACCATGTTTCATGGCAAACAAACAGTCTGACCCACCAACTCAGCAAGTGAGCCATTGAGGTTCCAGGTGGCAAAGTCAACATGCCCTGAACAATGCAGCCTGCTGATTTCGAGCGCTGGCTTGCCACGAAATCACGTGTTTAGCACAGGCTTGGTGCATGATGAGCCTGGGCGCCAGTGCTAATCTGGGTGCCACTGCTAATCGAAGCAGTTTTGGCTGTAGATCAGTTTGGCATGGGGCGATTCGCGTGTTAGTCACACACTCCTTTGGGAGCTTTGGAGGTAGGGTCAGGGGAGGAACTCTCCTTTAATTAGATGTTGACAGGGAGGCATTTGCGAACCAGGAAGCACAAGACATTCAAGGAACTTACACCAGGGTGAAAGTAGACGGCACAATTCCCTTTAAGTAAGTATACAAAGAGGATGACTCGGCCGAAGTCGCGGACCTGTACTGTCACCCCACTGCATGCGATTCTCGGGGCTGGTTCCAATTCTTACCTATATACCCAGTGGATCTCAGTTACCTTAAAATAGGTAGCCAGCTATTTTCCTTTTGGTTTTTGAAGGGCGGCAAGCCCTTGGTTACCCACTATACAGTAAATGGATCCACTGGGCTGTATTGTCTTGCAATCGGATTCCTGGTTCACTGTGAGAGTGCCAGTGAAGTGACAGACAAGTTGCATTGGGAAATGGGGGTTTCGATGAAACGTGACAGTGCGCTAGGCCCATTTGAGTATGTCTTTTTTGAGGGTACCCCTTTTTGGTGGTTTTAAAGGGACACCAAGAGGACAACGAGCATTTTGGGGGTCTCCTAAAAATGACACACTCCCATTTTAAACCCATCTTGTTGTCACAGTACTTGGGTGTTCGGGCAAGTGCGTAAGTTGTTGGTAGCCCAGGCTATAACCCACTTCCAAGTCCGCCTATGCGGGGTTGACCCTGTTTATTATTTTGGGGGGGGGGGGTTCTGGTGTTAGTGGGATTCATCACTTTTGGAGGGGAACACCCCCATATTAATAAACAGGGGTTAATCCGGGGGCACCATGATTGTTTCATTCGCCGCGCCGCATGTCATTCTCCATTTGGGGAGTGAGTCATGCCTGGCTCCAGATTTCGTTTCTTTCTGTGCCGAGAAAACCTTTTGGGTGTGCCTCAAAATCAAACAGCTGGGGTTACCGCAGGTGTTGGTCTTTGTTTCCATAGGCCAAGGTGCCATTTTGGGTACATCTTTTTGAGCCATTGCCTTTTGATTTTGTCCAAGTTTACTTTTTGCAAGGGGCCGAAGTGTCATTTTTCAGAATGCCTTGAGCCAAAGCGTTTAGGATTTAGTTTTTTTTGTGCCGACCCCGTCCTCAAGCACAGGTGCCTGCCCTTAAATATAGGCCTGACCCCCCCAATTTAAGAAAGTTAACAGGTCTAAGTCTGGCATTTGTTTGGCTTGCTGCCAGGATGCTACCCTCCAAACACCTTGGCGCCGCACATGCAGGCGCGTCCGAATTCGAGGATCCAACACTTGCGGAATTGTTGAAAGTACGCTTGGAGACCGGATGGTTTGCCTTCAACCCCAAGGTTTTTGGATGGACTTTTGTGCTGATGTCCTTTCGCCCGAGCGAGCAAATGTTTCGCGCCCACTTCCATGCTGGACACCAAGATTCAGGGTAGGGTTGAAGAAATGCAGGGGGGGGAGGGGAAATTGTCGACGTCCAAGAAAATGGCAGCTCCAGCGAATCGATTGGAAAGGCGGGTGATGGTTTCCCTGTAAATGCCGTATAACAACCGTTATGGTTTCATTCCCATGGATTCATTTCGTGGTGCGAGAAGTGGATTTCGCAACTGTTCCTGGAAGCCATGGGCCCCGCTAGGCCGCTAGGCCCAGCACGAGTGTTCCAGAAACGCGGTGGCTGCTGGGGATTCCTGGGCAAAAGCTTTTCCATTTGCCTGCAGGAGGTAACCGAGGGCTTGACACCCCTTGAAAACCAAAAGGAATTCATGGCTAGGTACCTACTGTGAGGGCAACTGGCATCCGCTGGGTTTGGGACGGGGTTCCCTTTGCGAACCAACAAATACCCAAGGGACCCCGGTTACCACTATAGCAGGCAACCCGCAATGTTCTTGCTTGTTTGAAGGGTGGCAAGCCCTTGATTGCCTGCATACAGGGCTATCTACTATAAGGGCGAAACGCCTGGGATCCACCGGGAAAAGGAAAGCCACCCCCAAAAGGGGCGTCCTGTTTAGAACCCCCGATAATGGTGGTGTTCCCTTTGGCTTCCCCTTAAGCCAACCCCAAAAGGGGTACTCTCCAAAACGACATAACCACACAGCAGTTCAACTTGCCCACAAAAAGCGTGGCACCAACTCCAAAAAAAAAAGTCGAGTCCAGGTACTGCTAGCTAGTTTGACCCAATAAATATCGTGTATTTTTCCTGAAAGGGTAAACCAACGAAACTTTGTTTCATTTTGCTTGGATGTTAAGACTTGTTTTTGTCAACTAGTGGGTTTTCCACATTAAACCACTAAAAGTTATTCACTTTTAACAGGGGAGCAGAAAGCAACCGAGCGAAAAGGGTACCGACTCCAAAGAACGACGAGCCCAGCCAGGCCTTGCGCGAGCCCTGCGGGCTGATCCACTGGGCCGGCACGGAGTCCGCGGACTCGCGCTGCACCCAGCTCGCCTCAGTGCCCCATTGAAGGTGTCCATTTGCCATCATCAAATGGCAGTGGCTCAGAAACATGTACCAAAGTGTGCTGAAGTGGCACCTTGGTATATAGATGGAACCAAAGACTAAAACCTGCGTATCCCTAGCTCTTGAATTTTGAGCCACAGCCAAATGGTACCCCTGTAACCTCCAAATTCGTGGCTCGTCTTTTTCTGAGGGGCCCCTTTTGTTTTGGTTATAAAAGACACCCAAGAGGAACAAACAGCAACATTGGTCAAATGGTACCCCCCCTCCAAATGCCCGCCTTTTGCTGGCCCAGTGGATCATAGGCAATTCGCCCCTGTAGGCAACCCCTCGGTCCATGTTCAACTTTTGATTTTTATATCGGGCGGCAAGCCTTGGTTACCTGTACATGTAAAGGGATCCACTGGGTAGGGTATCATGCCAACCTGCTGCTATCAAAGGAGGAATTTACTTTGGACAACTTGGTTTTAAAACAATACCCTGAAACAGCGTATTTGTAGTAGGGGCTATGTGTCAAAAGGAGCACATGGCAGGCTTTTGAATGTTGGCTTCTGTTGAAACCAACCTGACAAGGGCATACGTTATCCTCTTGTTAGAAAGCAACACATGATAAAGTCTGACCTCGTTCTTTGCATCATGACGCAATACAAGCACAGATTTGACATAGGCCAGGTTGAACAACACATAGGCCAAACAAAGCTGACTACTTTGTTATTACTCGGGATTCTGTGGGTGCTTCCATTCCTTTTGGTCCATTCCTTGTGGCACTGTTCAAGTTCGAGCTCTTAGACAAACTATTCCGAGCTGGGGCAAAACGAGCTCTGGATGAAGGCCCCCTGAATTTAAACTTCAATGTTATGAACTCTAGTTTTTGCCCAGATGTGACCACCTGATGACCCCCTGAATACTGTGGATGGACGAAATCCTGCACCACCTAAGAAGCCCTGGAACCATGATTCCCCTGTAAATACCAACAAACACTGGTTTCAACCATGGTTTCTAAGTGGTGCGAAATGGATTTCGTCCATCCACAGTATGACTCCTGCACAAGCAGGTCCCGTCGTGCTCCTTCCATGCAGCCCGCGTACATGAGCATTTCTCATTGCCTTCAAGCGTGCCCGCCAATCCACCGGGGCATGCGATTGAGACTCCGTGCACGAGTATGCACGCCGGAAAGGGGCTTGGTGCTTTGCTTCTGTACCAATTCTTCCAGTTGCTCAAGCATATTTGTTATGTTCCCCTGTTGATCTGAAAGGGAATCTACCACTACTGGACATATTATCTTGTTTTCCACACGACATTTTGGCAAATGGATGACTCCATCCTTCCCCTCGGGTTTCCTTTTTGGAGGCGCCCGTCTTTTTCCCCGGCGTCCGGGTTTCCTCGGGGTGCGGAACGGCGTCCGTCCTTGCCGAGGTGCCAGGGCTTCATGGACGGCGCGGTGCAGGCGGCCCAGCGCTGCGCCCGCGAGGTGATCGCAGCGCTCGAAGCCGCCCGCGCGTAGCCCAGGCGGGCGGCGGGCGATTCGAGCGGTGCTGGTGGCCAAGGGTGTCTTTCGCCAATTTTGAGGGGGGATGCTAAGGTGGATCCCAGGATTTGTTGCTTCGCCCTTGTAGTTGTATGCGATCGATTTTCCATTTTTGGTACTGGATCCCAGAAATTTGTTCCTCTTGTAACCCTCCGATCTATTTTCAACTTGTGGTTTTGAAAGGGTTGGAAGGCCTTGGTTACTGATACAGGCAACTGGATCCCCATTTTTCAGGCTGTCTCTTCAAAAAATATTTCATCTGCCTTCCAACCAGCTGTGATTCTCAAACTAGGTCCCCCCGCTTGGTGCCAACTCTAACCGTTTCTTTTTTGGGGAGGGTTCCCCTACTAAAATAGACTACAGAAAGAAGTTGGTACCCGAATTCTAAGCTCTCTACTGGAGGACCTAGAAAAGGGTTCTGGGTTGGAACCTGTTTAGGGTCCCTTAGGCCGATCAACCTGGCCGATTGTATGGGGTGTTCCCCCTCCCAACAGTGAAGGATGCCTTCTACAATAGAACGCTTCTTTGTCAATCAAAGAGGGGTTGATTGATCCGAATTCGGATGACATCAATATAACTCCTTCCCCGAGTTCCTGGACGACCATTTTGTTTTTCAATCAGCAAGCCGTGACTGCATTTGGCCAAGGAAGTTAGTTAACAAGTGCTCCTACTAGGCTTCCAGGATTGAAACAAATCCAGTCCGTCAATGAACCTCTGCTAGATTAACAACGCGGGCAACCCATATCCCAGGTTTCTTGGATGACAAGTGAGGGAAACACTCTTCCGTAAACGACACTTCGTGTGCGGGTATATTAATCCGGGGTCAAATTTAATGACATGGATCCTGGATTTCCAGATGTTGTTCGGACATGATATGTTGGGCCGTGTTTAGGTGAACACACCTTCAGTGGAGTGATGTTCAAAGGGGACATAGGGAGACTGCTGTGAACGCCCAACGGTTCAAAGGGTACCGTGCTCCAACCTATACCTTCATCCACTTTCATGGAGCCCGAGTGGACAGCTTGTGCAGACTGTTTGCTTTTGAAAGGAGCGAAGAGTCTGTCTGATTCTGTATTATGTTTGTGGCGCAGAGTCTTTCTTATGCATATTCGCATGTCGTCCTGGCACCCTGCTGGATGCTTCTTACAGGATGTGCTGCCTGAGATTGGATTACATCCGTGTCCTACTGACGTGACATGATTCACCCAGCAGTTTCTAAATATGCTATCCGATGGATCGGAGCCCTTCCAAGAAGCGGACCTTTCAAGCGCTTAACCGAGGGGTATAGGGTGAGGATGAGTCAACATGCTTTCTGGCCACTTTCTAAACAAATAGCTTGCTCGCTGGTGTGGCTGCAAGGTTCCTTGATTGATTGCACTTCTCTCCTGACCAAGGAGAAGAGGCTGATTGACCGCTTGGGTATTGGTCTCTTCGCATGAGTGACGTTGCGCTCTCCGCATGAGCGACGTTGCGCTGGTCCTAACATCGCAATTGAGGGGTCAACATGGAGGGTTGACATGAGCAACCAACAAACTGATTGGTAGTCGACTGTTGGTACGAAACATCAGCTCGAAAAATGCATGGTTCACAGGAAGCACGAGGGACACAGCAGTTTGGCCATTGCAAATCATTTTGTCCGTTTTCAGTCATGGGGGCATGCTAAGCTGCAAAGCCGGTTGACCCCTTTAATGTGTTTGCATGCTTCTCACCCACAAATTTACCCAGGAACCCAGAAAACACCAGCGTTTAGAGGAAGCTGCTTTTGGGGGAACTACTCTTTTGGCCCCATGTAGGTAGAAGTTTGTCACCAAAAGTCCTAATTAGGGCGTTTGTCTTGGGCTTGAGTTGGGCGATGTTCTGAATCTTGATTGAGTGCTACTCACTACGTGTGCGTTGTCGCCCCCTTTTGGGGATGAAGCATTGCGTAAGGGCTGCTGTCCTCTTCGCAGTCTTCAAGAGACGCCCAAAACCAGATCATTGACACATGTCGATGTTTTCATGTACGTAGCTGGCCAGCATCAATGATCTCATTTTAGTGAAGAGGCCCGAACAAAGGTACACTCTTACAAACCATGTCATCCCTCAAAATGATCTCTTTCCCGTTTCGGTTTTCCTTTGAAGGCCCCCCAAATGCGCCTTTTATAAGCAGCTCCCACGTCCAAGCACCTGAATTACCGTCGATGTCGCTCAAGCAGCCGCGCCCACTTTAAGCATCCAGGCTTCGCATGACTCAGCTTGCGACCTATTGTTTTGCCGATGCGAAGTCCAGCGGCCTGAAGCCAACTGGGAAGCTCCCTGACTGCCTGGTTGCTTTAGTCACTGTCCCGGTTTGGGACACTTTGGCAAACAAACAAATCGGGACTGAGTTTGGAGCCAGGCAGTGAGGAACCGAGCCCTCTGGCAGCATATGTACAGATCGATGGCAGCATATGGGTATGGGTCAAAATTAAACCACCAGGATATGGATCGCAGGTTTGGGGGTTCTATTTTTGGTACCTATTCTTGACCCACATCCATATGGCGGCCGCCCCGTTGTGTGAGCAGTAGATTGCCTTCTTTGAGCTGAATCAAACTGGCAAGTCCAACTCGATTTGTCGCACTCGATGCAGTTCCGGAAAAAGGCGTCGAGGGGAGTTGAAGCAGCGGTTAAAGCAGCGATTGTGTTCGTGGCAGGGAAGTGTCGATCTACATAGACAAGAAAGTATCCCAAGCGCAATCACTCGCCTGGGGATCCGAAGCCAAATCTCCCTGACCCAATGAGGCCATAACCCTTCCTGCCCCCCCAAATCATTTGTTTGCCTGCTGAATTTCTGCTTGGGCCTGGAAATGAAAGGTGATCTCCTGTTGGAACCTTGACTAAACCAAATCAGAGAAACGAGCTAAGTCCCCAGTAGTGCCCTTTTGTCCCTTTTTGGGGGAGGGTTCCCCTACTAAAACAGACTACAGACAAAAAGGGTACCCTTATTCTAACGTCTCTACTGGAGGACCTAGCCAGAAGGTCACAAGGTCGAATCGCTTTGGCAAAGTCAGTTGATTTACCAATGGAGACTGCAGGGAATGTTGCCCCTCAAGTGGATTGAATCCCCACCTTGAAGCCACTAAAAGGGAGCCCCCACTCAAAATGAGTTCATCACTGCAGGGTTCCCATTATGGGGTTGGAGGAAATAAATCCAAACACTGAAAAGGGGAACCAATGAGAAGCAGAGGTTTAAGTTTAAGGGATATCCGAAACCCCTTCCTTGTTTTGTTTCCCACTCTTAAGTCGGGGAGGGCTATCCTGAGCGGGGGGTCTTCCATTGTTTGAAGTCGGCGTCTGCCTGCGGGAGCATTCGCCTTGTCAAGCTCTTCAGCGGTTTGGAGTGAATGTGTCACGCTGCTCCCCATCATTTTTCGCTTTACTTGTTTTGCGCCCCTTGGCCCAACTGGAGGTAGTTTTTTCTTACAGCGAGGCAAGATCGCAGATTCAAGAAAGGTATTGCGAAATACAACGCGCGCAGCAAATAGCCAGCATGCGGTCAGAAGGCCCAACTGCCTCGTCAAAAAGGATCGCATTCTTTGATGGATTCATTGATTTTCCATCACGGTGCGAAGTCAAAGTCTGTCTCCGAACTTCTGCGTTTTTGTTTGTTTGAGTGTGCGGTGGCGCACGCGTGTTTGGTTGTGTGCAAGCAATGTATACCCATCATGCTACCTATCTTGCATCTTAGCGAATGCTGGAATGACCATGGATAATGGTTCTTGGTGGTGAAACCAGCGTTCCTTCGTGTCCTTTTTATAGTTGATTAGGGACGCCTATGCCAGCATTCATAGGTTCATTCCAAACACCCTTGATATTCCCTTTTGAGAAACAGCGCGACGCGCCGAGTGCGGCCGCACCGTGCCGCCGAGGCGATGTTGTTGATGCGGACCAGGCTGGGAGCTTCGGAAACTTGGGGAAGAGTGGGGGTCCGTTTCTGAAAGGATTCCTCTAGCAATGACGGTTTCTAATGATTACATGTTGATCCGTAAGGATGTAGTTACTGGTGCAGAATGCAGCCTAATTGCGACTGGGACTACTTGAACACTGTAGGGGAAATACCCTCCTCCAGGCAAAGATGGAAGCTCCCAAGACCCCTTTTGAAGACTTGGTTCCATTTACAGGATCGACCTTCTGGGAGCTTCCATGTTAGTCTGAGGGAGTGTAAGTACTTTGTCACCCATTCATGGTTGTTGTTAGGAAGCATTTTACATTTTTGCTTATTGTGGTTTAGTGCGAAATCCCCACTTATATAACTGCTAAAATTTAATTTTTTGCTCCCCTTCCACTTAACTGCTGACATTGTGACAAACATATTCCAGATATCTCAGGCAAAAAAGGTCGGAATGAACAGTTGATCAACAGCAACGACTTGGTTGCAAGACAAGCACGCGGTGTTATTTTGTGCAAAGAGCTTGGTATTTGAGTATGGGTCAAAATTAAGCCACCTGGATTTGGACCGCAGCTTTTAGTCCAGGATTCCATTTACCAGGGGTCCATTTTGGGTACCAAATTTTGACCCACACCCATTTGTCATATTTGATGAAGTTCTTCTGGATTGCAGAGTCCAACTGTGCGTTTGTGTGTCATTCCTGTTGCAGTAATGACAGCGAACCAGTAGCCCTCCCACCCCGAAAAGGTCGAGAAGGTTTCTCCTCCACAAATCAGATTGTTGAAGCACTGGAGTAGTCTGGGTGATCGACTTTAGTATTGGAATTTGGCATACTGCTATAGAATTTGGCATATTTAGGCGGATTTGAACCTTTATTTGGGTGGTCCGTCTAATAGCATGTTATTTTGTTTTGTGGAAAAAACACATGCTTTCATGAATTCCAGTTTTTACAGTGTTTAGTATTGGGGGGGTCATGTGGGCCTCGACGAATTACTTCTTTATCAGCCCTCGGTTATAAGTGCATCGGTTTGTAGCTTCTCATTCCGCTTTTCCACTTATTGTTTGCGC